GGGCAGGCAGGCACTTGCTAGCAGCAAAAGGGTGAAAAAAGGCTTATGTCTAATTAAGTGTTCTGTGGGAGAATACAGATTTCAGGTCCAAATGCTTGGTATCCATCCCTTCTTCCATGCTGACCTTCATCCTATCCCTTTTCTTGTTAAGTTGTATATTCTCTTTTATAAAAGTAATGGTATTTTTAATACAGGCAAACCCAGTGTATATCCTCCAACCTTGTTCTGAGACATGAAAAACCTTAAAAGAAACCTTGCTTCAAACATGTCAGTTTGACCGAGTTCAGTGTGACCAAACTTCAAAGGGCTGCACACCTGGGAATTGCATCTTAAGGCAATTTAAAATAAGTCCTATTCAATACATTCAGTGTAAGTGTTAAGGTGTTAATGCTTGTTTTGTTTTACCTGTGAAGAATCCATTCAGAACCATCAGTGGTATGGCACTAAGTAACTCGAAGGATCCACAAGTTCCTTGCAGGATAACAGGATCACAGCCTTGTATTGTATCTTAGAGATATCAGAAGATACAAAGAAAAATGTAAAGCTCAGCACCAGCCTTTGCAGAGAGGTGTTGGGTTTATTTTTTACTTTCTGAAATAACACCTGAAACCTTCAGCAGGGATCTGTCCTGCCTTGACACCTGCAGTGTTAAAGAAAGGCTCCTTTGATCTCTCTTAAGGTGTGGAAAATGGGAAACTCACCTTCCTTCAGGCAAATACTGTTTTGGCCCAGTTTGATGCCTTAACAAACACATCACTTGATTCTCAAACCTTCCATTGAGCAAGACTTCAAAAGTCTGATATGTTAATTGCACATGGGCGGACAACCCAAACCACCCACCCAGAGCAGGATTGAGGGAGCCCGCGAGCCGCGTCCCGAGTAAACACGCGCTGGAATCACCGACGCGGGTGACCATGGCAGGGTCTATCCTGGCTTGTACATTCTTCAGGGGTTTATGTGGTGTGCGTGAGAATATTTTTATTAGCTGTTCCACGTGCCATTTTTTCACCATTGTTGGTGTCCTCAATGGGAGGCACTCCATCAGATGAATGGGAACAGGTTACTGTTCTGGAATGCAGCCACAGAACACCCTCCCATGCAGAATAAAGCAGGCACTTAACTAATGACGTGCTGCTGCAGCATATTTGGCATCCCATTCGTGCTCCACTCAGCACTCCAAATCTAAAAGCAATATATGAATAATTGTGAAGAATTGTCCTACTCTCGGAAAAATATGCACTAATATTTTACCAGATGTAACACCATGTAATTACTTTTTCTTCTTCTAAAGATCAACTTGAAGAGATAAAAAGACAAGATATGAAGATAAAGGCAGAAAAAGATAAAGACAGAAAACTATGAGAGGCCCACAATTAACCTAGACGTATTCATGAGTTTGCTGACTAGGTCAAAATTTCACTCTATTCTTCGATACAGAGTGTTTCCTATAAATTTCTAAATTAGTTTTAGGTGTGATGAAGAGGCCTTACTGACACAGCTTTGGGAAACAGCTATTCCTAAACAGATCTGAACACTTGTTTTCCAACAAACAACATGTTTTCCAAGTAGATAAAATCAATCCATTGTGCTAATCTACTGTCAGTGTCTGCTTTGTCAAATGTTAACTCATAAGGACAAATATGCCACAAAGTCCCTGAGCAGCTGCCTGTCAGCAACACTTGACATTCTCCTGTGGGAATCACAGCATCAGTTCCCTTGGAATGGACCATTGGAGGTCACCTGGTTCCCCACACCCCACACCCATCACTAGACTATGGCCAGTTCAGAACAGATCCATTTTTTAGTATCTCCAATGATCTCTGGATAACTTGTTCCTATTCTTGACTATTCTCATTGTGAAATTTGTTTTCCTCATATCTAATTAGAATTTCTCTTGCTGCAATTTGCACTGTTCTCTCTCTTCCTTTCACTGTGCACCTCCAAAAAGACTCTGGCTCCTGTCTTCTCTGCACATCCTGAAAGAGCAGCTGAAAACAAGACTTTGCTGTCTTTCTCCAACCTTGTCAAACCACTTCTCTCAAGCTTGTCTAGCATGACACGTGCTTGATCCCTCTAAACACCTTGTTGGTCCTTCACTGGTTCTGATCCAGTATTTCAGTGCCTTTTTTGTGCCAGGGAGCCCAGAACTGTACCTAGAATGCCAGATACAGCCTCACCAGTGCTGAACTTGATAATTACACTCTTACTAATACAACCAAGCATGCAGAGCTGGACTTGTTCAGTACAGGGGCAAACTGTTGACTCATGTCCAACTTGCACACCATGAAAACTGGTCTCTTCCCATTATGCCACTGGAAGTTCTTGAGCACAGCACTCTGATATAAGTGAACCTTCAGTCTGCCTGAGGATGACAGGCCTCAGGTTGTCAGACCAGCTCCATGTAAAGAGCTACCAGGGCAAACAACAAGTTTGGACAAGAAAGATGCCTCAGATAAAGCATTTTTTCAGTCAAATAGTGACTATTTTCTCTAGCTGGCTGATGTGAATTCTGCCCATTCTCAAAGCGAGGAATAGAGATCCAGGGGCTTTGGTCTCCTTTTAAACTGAAGTTGCAGTAAGTGTTCTGTGCCATTACTATTTACCAAGCTTCAGTTTGAGATTCTGCATGTGAGTAACACCTCACTGCAGAAAGTGAAACAGACTGTTGCTCTCTCAGTAGGGTATTTTTCTTCTCAGAGCTCTAAGACAGCTTTGATATTTCAAAACACAAAAATCTTCAGAGTTTCAGCTGAGCCCCTGCTGTGAGTGAGCTGCTGTTTGCACACCCTACAGTATATCACAGCCTCTCATCACAACTATGTCCCTCCTATCTGAGTGGTCTAGGCAAGCCCTACAAAGCTTAAGGTCCACTGTTCAGGAAATGAATCTTTATTTGATTCAAAAGCTCTAACAATACACCTAAACATTACCAGAAAAAAACATTCACCCCATGGCTTTCCTGATATGGGGCACTGAATAAGCATTAGGAAGCCTTCCAATAGAAAGGGAACTTTCAAATGCTAAGAAAAATCTCATTTAAAATCTGCCTCCGTTTTTGGTCCCCTCCCACCTCCAAAAGTCATCTCTTCCTGCACTCGCCTCAGAGAAGATTCCTACATCAACTTAGCAGACCTGAAGCAGATGTTTATACTCTTCTGCTGGCGGGATGGGATGGATATTGAGGTTGCATCAGACAGGACACTGTGGAGCACTGCATTAGAACAAGAGAGCATAACCAGAGTGGCAGATTTCCTCATTCCGGTGTCAAGGAACCGGTGTGTTCTGTCAAGCTGCAGTTTCACGGTTTCAAGATTTCCTCAAGAGTCTTGTTTGCTCAAAACTATTCAGATTAGGAGTAGCTTCCGGCTTGCTTTGAGTTTTGTTCTTATTGCCTAATGCTGGTGATTGTCCATCAACCAATGAACATGTCCTGAATACTCTCCACGAGTTTGTACATGCTCTTTGCCAGGCTCTTCAGAAAGGTTTTGGACTCTACAGTACAAAAACTTCACTGACATCCCAAAGCAGAATCCAGACTGACCCCAGTCAGCCTGTCCCAGACAGCCTGTCTCTTGTGATCTCAACTTCAAAGGAACGTGCACAGGTGTCCAAGTTAAGAACAAAGGAAAATTAAATATTAAATCACTGAAGTAAAGGTACTGAATTACAGGGCTCCAGCTCAAACTAGATCTTTACCTATCCTGGAACTTGAATTTGATGGCATTTATATTTTTCATCCCATGAAGTGATGAGAAATTAGCCATTTAATAATTACCTGTAATCCTTAAAGACAAGATGATATTTATCCTTCTTGGGATACATTAGTGGGGCCCAAGGTCTATTTGACCTATTACAACCTTTTCTGTAAGAACTTTCAGTCCTCTCTGTCTTCCTGGAATTAGCACATATGGCCCCAATTCCTTGCAGTGAGGGAAGGTGATCACTGAAATGCTGTGAATTGTAGTAGTGTGCAGGGATCTTTCCTATCGAGACAATTTGCACAACTGCACTAAGACAAGACGATTTTGGAGGAATGGATTCAAACCAAACTATCGGCTCAAAACTCCACATTACTTTGAACTTTATGAAAATTAAGCCTCAGATGTGATTCTCCCCCTGACCTGACCTATATTATAAAAGACAGAAAATGATGTCTATTGATTAAGTCACTAATACAATGGTATGTTGGATTTTTTTAAAGAATCCCTCCTACTGTGCTGGAAATAGGAAAATAGGAGAAGAGGGGCAGGTAGAGGAATCTCCTCCACGACAGCAGACCAGGCAGTAACTCAGCAGGATACCCAGTGGCTCTGAACTCATCTCTGCTCTTTGCCAGGCAGTGCCATGTGGTATCTTTGCTCTTTCTCTCACAGAGCGTTGGTTCTCATCTCTAAAGTGGCAGAATTTTAAAGGAAGGAGAACACTGGAACACTGAAGGATTCTCTGGGATTTTTGTGAAGTTTAGGGTGTTCAAATGAAACATTCTTTTCCAGAGCAGCCTAGAGGGGCTCAGTGCACAGCCATAGTAATCAGCATTGCCCTTAAACAGAGGTTACAGGCAGCTCCAAAGCATCAAGACAACAGGAATTAAGGACTTCAGCTCCACTGGGATGAATCTTTTAGAACACACCCAGTAAGAATTATTTTTCCCCTGGGAATTATGTTCATCTTTAAGAGTCAACAAGCAATAACAGACCACAACAGCAACAAGTAACCACAATACTGAGTCACTCATTGGACTTGCTGATAGAGATGGAACAGTTAATTAGGCAAGGGGCTTAGCCAAGGAACAATACATCTGCTCTATCAACACAATCCATGCTAGGACACTCATGACCTTCACCTTATACAGAAGACATCCTATTGACACTACACGGGCAACACCTTCTTCTAATTATGTTCTGTGTGAGAGGATTTCATCACCAGGGTTCCTGCACCTTGTGCGTGTGTATATAAATATCTGCTCCCACAGACACATGGACACACACTGGAGCTAAACGTGCTGGAATACTTGAAGGGCAGACCGGCTGTGGAACAGGTCAAGAACCCCTGCTGGCCATGAAGACAACAGGAGTTTTTGTGCTCCTCGCTCTGGCAGTTCTTTGCTTGGCAAGTGAGTAACCCTCCTGTATTTCCTGATAATATATTATAGTTCTTATGTCTAAAGACTGCAAGTTTCTCAGTGTATTGGGACAACAAGCAGTGGTTCCTGGAGCTGGGTGGGAGACAGAAAGTGAAATTTTAGGCTCGTGCTCTATTTATCAAACACTATTGTGCCAGCTGTACAGTTGCCTAGTTGAGTGGATGAAACCTATTCCTTGGTGGTGGTGTGAATCAGAGCTGCATTCTGCACTGTGACTAAAAAGAACTGCAAAGCCTCAGAACTACAGCTGGTTTTACCTACTTATTTCTAAATTTTAACTGAGAAGGGAGGTTGGAGCTGATGAGGTCCTTCTCCTGCCAAACTGACCACGCAGGGGACAGTTGATTATGCACTGGACACATAATACAGCTGTAAACCACCTCTTTATACTGTTAGTTTGCCAGGTTGCAGAGAGCTTTGAGGGGCAGATTGCTCTGTGATAAAATAGGGAGCTGGGAGGAATTTCTTCAGCCTTTACTTGGTATTTTTATTTTTACTAAAAACTTGCAGTAAAATATATACTTATAAGTTAGTACATTTAAGATAACTGAGAGTCCACATTTCTGCTGGAGTATGGAAGTTCAAAAGCATTAAAAACATTAAAGAAGCAAAATAATGAAAATATTAAACCCAAAATTATGAAACAAATTAATATTTTTCTAATTTGAATAGGTCTGAAAGGGTTGCTTTGAAAATTGTCTCAAATTCAAAATGCTTATGAACAACAATTTCAATGAAATTGCATGATTTGACAGAACCTATTCTTTCAGTGTTTCATTTACTGCAGAATAATAAATAAATATTACTTCCATAAGAATTCCAGGAAATCTTTTCCTTGAACTTCTTAGTTTACCTTGTCTCCGTTAAAACTTTATGAATTAGTACTTTTTGAGCTACATCTTTTTGCATTCACTCCCATATGCAGAGTGGCTATTAGAAGGTTACCAGAGAAAAAATAACATCCTAATGTTTTGGGGGAAGTGGATTAAATCTAATCCAATTCCAGAATAATGAAAACTGTCAAACCTCTGGTGGCACAGATTGAAATTTGACACGGAGCACTATTTATGATAGTTTTCTTTATGTTGAACAACTTTATTTGATGAGACGATGTAAACAGCTCCATGAAAGGAACTTCCAGTGGAAAGTTTAATGGCTTTAAAGATCAGAAAAAGCCACATTTAGTGCAAAGTACTAGAGCTGTATTGCCATAACAAATTTTCCTCCTGCTCCTTCTGCACAGAAGTCTCTGCCTGATAACTTTTACCCCTTCGAATCCCCAAGGATGATGATTACAGGACAGGAGAACAAACACATTCCTAAAGAAAGTAACAAATGTGTCACCATAATGGAGACATGCCAATGGCACTTGATTACTTTGTGGGAGGTGTAATTAGCATTGTTTGAAGCAGCTCCTTGTAGCCCCACCTCGGAACAGGGTTCCATTCTATCAGATGCCATGTGTGTACAAAATAGGAGCCAATCAGTTTAGAATCTGTACTGACCAGCAAAGGAAGTCACTTTTTAAAGTGGTATTATGATCCAAATTGGATTATCATTATTATATATATTTAATATTATAGTTTAATGAAGTTTTATCCTCATTACTGACAGAAAATCAAAGTATAAAAGGAACATGTGATTTTTTTACAACCACATGCAACTTTTTTTACAAACTTAGGAATTAAAACCCAGTCATGTTCAACAACCAGTTTATCCTGAACAGACTGGCCATTGAATATAATATTGACTTCTGGGGCTTCAATCTTTTTGTGGTGAAAGGGGGAGCAATAGCTCCAGTTGCTTCTACAACAGAGGCTGTGCTAGCAGCTGATAGAGGTTTCTGAGGTAAATACTAGAATAATGTCCACTTGTTTAATAGGTTCTGACACCTGTGTCTTATTAAACACCAAAAAGCTCTGTCAGTATTTATTTCAAGGAGTTAAAAGACTTGGTGTTGCTGGAAGGGCTGAGACTAATGAAATCATTCTGATTTGAAACTGAGTGTTCATTAACTGTGGTTTTTATTTTATCCTTTGTGATTCTGTTTTATTGCAGATGCTGACAAAGAGAACGAAGTGAGTAATTTTCTTTATTTCTGGATAAAACTATATAGCTTGTAACAACATGAGGTCAGGAAAAAACCAAATGTGTTAAACTTTAATTAATTGCTAGCCATGTATTGAGATTTCAGTGAGAAATCCCCAACTCTGAGATATGTGGTTTTCATACAGTTGCCCTGACAACTTCCAGATGCTTTTACCTGTTATATATTCTGGGCAAGAAGCTGGGCAAGGACAAATTTTAAGTCAGAGAAATCTAGATTTTTAAAAATATTTATCTGATTATGATGCTGCAAGTCTTTCTTAATGACTTTCAGGTCCTAAGTCTGGCACTTGGAGGTTTTAATTTCTCTCTGGTTATGCTGGAGTCATCCTGGGGTCAACCTCTGAAAGAAATGAGACACCAAGAAAAAAAATCCTTACTCGGATGAGCAGGGACAAGACCTTTCAGAGCCCAGTGATGAATAGTGGGGAATGAAAAATCACCCTCACACAGAGCTGGGTCCATATTAGCACAATTCAGGAGGATTTCCTTCATGGAAAGGGATGTCAAACATTGGAAGGGGGTGCCCTGGGAGGTGGTGGAGTCACCATCCTAGGAGGTGTTCAAGAAACGACTGGACATTTGTAGTCCTATTCTCATGTCTGAGTCTGTAATGAATACAGTCCCGCTATCAGATGAGGCCTCCAACAATTCCTTTTCATGCTAATACTTGAAAAGGACTTTAATTTCACCTGGGTAGAAGTTTCCCCCAGTGTAAAAAGCATCAAGAGCTGATATTGTGCAATAAAGAAAGCCTCAAGAAGTAATCTCACCTGCAATCAGCTAGAAAAAAGTACTAATACTCAACTAATACTCAACTTTTCTGTAACTATATTTTTTCCAGTGACTGTAATGCTATTCAGATGGAGAGCACAGTCCTTAAAGGTGCTCAGTGTGTGTCACAGGCATTATCACACACATCTCTGTGATAAGGAACATTTCTATTTTGAGGCTTAGGCTCAGCTAATACAAATGGCGAAGCCTCACTGACTGTGCTGCTCTACAGCAGCTGACAAGCGCGTCCAAAAATGTCATATATTCATTATTTCTGTAGGTGAATGGAAAATGTGAGAAAGATGGATTCAAAGAAAAATGACACTCTATTTGCAGGTGGACTGCAGTGAATACAGGAGGTTAGAGAGAGGAAAACCCATTTACTGCGAAAGGCTCTATCAACCCTTCTGCGGCTCTGATGGAAAAACATATAACAACAAATGTTCTTTCTGCAAAGCAGTCCTGTAAGTACAACTCTACCTAATTACTCCTGAATTAGCCAAAATCTGAGGTTAGCTGAATTATCTGGGATTTCCATTCCACCTAAGTGCTATCATTTTTTTTTCAGGGTTGCTACTTCTCTGTTCCTTTGCTTAATCTTTACAGATTAATTGCCTCTCCTGCCTATAAGGTCCAACTGGTCTAAACAAATGACTTTGATATCTGTGTGAGCAAATTCCTATTGTAGCAGAAACTGTAGAAGTTGGACAGTAAGGAGAAGAGTCCAATGAGCACCACAGGCTGAACATGGTACCTGGACATAGCTTGAGTCATATAATTGAAAAGTGGTTCTGGAAATTCCTTGTTATTTATGGATAAAATATATAATTTTCAAAGGAAAGTTGTTTACAGATCAATGCCCTCACATCTGCTACAAATGTTTATGGTGTCTTCTCTGTTAGCAAGTTGTTAGCAAAGGGCTTTGGAGAGGTTTCAGTGCATGACGTTGAGCTTTCCATCTGCAATATTGATGTTCTTCCCTTCCTTTACAGGAGAAGTAGAGGTGCCTTACGCGTGAAGCAAGCAGGGGTCTGCTGAAGGAGCTCTGCATGACAGAGGAGTGCTGAGAACAGCTTCACACTGCCCTACCACAGTCTCTTAATTGGATTTCATTCATCCTGTCTGTGCTGATGGTGGCAAACAAAGCATAAAGTCTGCTTTTCACCTGTGTTCTCTCATTTGCTGCTTTGCTCCACTCCAAAGTGCTGAGATTGACGCTTCTGTCCTCCCTGAAAAGCACTTCCTTGGGATTCTCAGGAGCATTCCTGTTCCTGTAGCAGGAAAGTTGATTTTACATGAGCCCTTCATTATACATTGGTCTACAAAGCTGAAGTTCAAATCTTCTGACGACGCCACCCCATCTGAGTGGACACAAGTCAGTGCAGGCATGGCCTCTCTTCCCCTTGTTGATAAAATGTTTTCTTCCGTTTATCCAGAAATTTTAGCAGATACCTTTTTCCAAAGGTTTCAGCTTTCTTAGGTAGTGCTTTGACTCTTCCAGTTTTGTAGCTAAATTTTAAATGCTTATTTTTCCTTTACCTTTGTGCAATTCTGATTCATTTATGTTGTTTAGCATGTTTATTAAAATAAACATTAAGTCTTTTGCTTTTGTCCATGGTGAACTTCCTAGAGAATAAGTTTATTGCATCCTTTAGTAACAAGTATTTCCCAAGTTATAGAAAACTATTGTGGAGCAGGGACTAAGTCCAGAGGTAAAAAAATCAAGACAAAAGTTGTATTCCACTAGATGGCCTCATGTTACTGAAATTTACCCTTCAATCTGCCTCTTTTTTTCCTTTAAATGAATCAAATCCAGTACACTGTAAGACTGTATAAGCTTCAGAGTAGTATCTCTGTTAAATCCTGTCATTTAAATGTGATCATTAATGATTCCTTTCACTTCTGATAAGTTGGTGGCTTTTAGACCTAAAGAAATTTCTGTTCTGCCTTACATCCTTATTTTCTTCATTATTAAGCCAGTTTGTGTCTTTTACATTTGAATAGTTTGTCATGGGAATCCATTTTCCCAGAATTAAAACTGATGAATGACTGACTTCACTGGGCTTACACAGGAGGAAAATTTTGGAACTGCTGAACACAGAATAAATCCATCCCTATCATGAATTCTGTTTATATGGAAACCAGGTCCCAGCAATTAGGCAGCAGGAATGCAATGAGAAAGGTAATATTGTAAAAGTTTCTCATAGCTCAGAGGCTTGTGGCTCTGGACAGTCTACCTAAAGAGGTTCTCACAACAGTTCATCTTGACTGAAAAAAAGATAAAAATAAGAAAAGAAAGATCAAATTGAGAAAACAAAGGCAAACTCTGGGCTTTCCTCATGATGTCAGAAAATCCAGCAGACAATTTGTGAATACTTTCTGCCCTCTAGCTCAGCTAGTTAGAGCCTAAGTGGATATTCACACCCTCTGCTTTAGTATGTTGAGATATTTAACTGATTGTGCTTCTGGGCCAAACCTAAGATGCAAAATTTCCTACGCACATCCTCCAGAATGATTCAAGAAGCTGTAAGTCAGAGGTCTAAACCACACTTCTGGGACTCTAATTTGTTTTTGATAATTTCTGACGTGATTTATCTGAGACAAGGGCAGCTGGAGATCAAGACTTTCCCACACTGAGTGCTTTTTATGAGCTCCTGCTGGCCCATAGCTGCAGATAATGAAAAGCAGCTTCTGCCGCATACCAGCACAAAGAACACCATTTGCAAATTGCTGCAAATGACACTTGAAGTAAATGCTGAAGTGGCTGGACAATCTGGACAGTCGAGTTTGTGTGATGGAGCAATGACATGGAAATGAGGGGAAGGAAAAATGTACGTAGCTTTAGTGAGCTGGTAAAACAAGCTCGGGTCCTGCTTGCTAGAAAATAAAATAGAGGGAGCCAGATATTGGTGTTGAATGGAAAATAGAAAAGATCTTGCACTCATGGAGGATTAGAGTTTTCAAAACTTTGCATCAAAAAGATACTGATATCATTGATATATCTGTATATGTGATGTATATACCTGATGCATTTATATGTGGAGGACAGAGTTTTCATAGTAAGGTTTTAAATTTTTTTTGTTTTCCTTTCTAAGACAAGGAATGAGACACAGGCCTGAAAATCAGATAGTTGAGTTCCTAAAAAAAAATAGAAATGCCAGTGCTATAATAAATTTGGCTGGGGTTAAATCATGACACCTTCCTTACTTGTGCTAATGCACCTAATGACTTCCGGTCTTTTGGGCTCATACCTGAACAGATTTAACAAATCGATTTTTGGCCACTGTTTTCCTCTTTCTTCAGTTTCAAATATTATGAATTTCCTTGCAAAAAATCATGAAAGTAGCAAAATTTCCTCTTTGTTTAGCAGAAGATAAATGGCCTAAATAATAGACCCATATAATGCTCAATACACTGTGGCAAAGGCAACTCTCAGAGCTCTTGGGGCAGGTTAAAGCCTCTTCAGGTAATGTATCACTTATAAAGTTATTAGAGAGTGTCCAAGGAGAGACAGGAGGATGGTGAAGGGTCTGGAGGGGCCCTCAAGAAGCAGCTGAGGGCACTTGGCTTGTTCTGGGAGGATGCTGAGGTCAGACCCCATCGGGCTCTGCAGCTTCCTCACAAGGGGCAGCTCCAATCTCTGCTCTGTGTGAGCAGTGACAGGACCCCAGGGAATGGCTGGAGCTGTGTCAGGGAAGGGTTAGGTTGGATATTAGGAAAAGATTCTTTCCCCAGAGGGTGGTTGGGCACTGAACAGGCTCCCCAGGGCAGTGGTCACGGCCCCAAAGCTGCCAGAGCTCAAGGAGTGTTTGGACAAGGCTCTCAGTGACATGGTGGGATTGTTGGTGTGTCCTCCGCAGGACCAGGAGTTGGACTTGGATGATCACAGAATTCCAGAATAGTTTGGGTTGGAAGGGACATTAAAGCCCATGCCATTTCACCCTTGTCATAGGAAGGGACACCTCCCACTAGACCAGGTTGCTCAGAGCTCGATCGCCTGTGATTCTTGTGGGTCCCTCCAAACTCAGGACATACTATGATTCTACAGCAGTGGTTTGGAATATTATTTTTATAAATTACATTCCTTTCTCTGTGTGCGCTGAGCGACCTCAGCCTGCACACTGCTTTAACCCACAGCACGCCAAGGGCACGCCGCCACGCGCGGGCGCTCCTGCTGCCGTGCCACAGCTCCCCACCAAGCTCTTTAGTGGGTTTCATTAGTTCCTCTCAGGGCGCCCAGCCCGCGTCCCGGAGCCCCAGCGGGCGTTCACCGCCCTCAGGGCTCAGCCACCACCGACATGGCGGCGCGAGCGGGACGCGCCGAGGCGGCACCGCCCCAAGATGGCGGCGGGGCGCGGCTCGCGCCGCCACGCTCAAGATGGCGGCGGGGCGGGTGTCGCGGCCCCCGGAAGGGGCGGTGGGAGCGGGGGAGGCGGAGGCGGAAAGGGCCGCGCAGGAAGCGGCGGCCGGGGCTCACCCGCGCCACAACACCGGGGCTGCGGGGCAGGTGAGGGCTGCTGGGGCGGTGTGGGGGGACGAACCGGGCTGAGCTCCCGGGCGCGCGGGCGGTGACCCGGAGGCTGCCGCCCTCTCGCGGCGCCGCTGCCCGTCCCCGGCCTCGCGCCGTGCCCGCTGTGACAGGCCCTGAGGGACGGGGGCAGAGCCGGGAGGGAGCCACCAGCGCTGAGGGAGCGGCGGCGCCTGGTCTGCGGGGAAACCTGCTTTTGTATCGCTTATCTCAGCAAGAACAAGCCTGTCCTCTCTTTTCCCCTCCCCATAAGGAGCGCCCCTACTTATCTCGTGCTTACCAGGCCGTCCCTGGCTGCTCTCTCCACATTTTTCTTTTCTGTGCGGTCTGCCCATGGTTTTTTAAGCTTTTTAAGTTCAGTGTGGTAGCTACTGATCAAGAACACTGCACGTCGAGCTGCTGTTTCCTACAGCATTCATTCTCGTGAATTAACTGAGGTGGGGGCAGCAAAATTCCGTTTGCCAGCTGGATTGCATATATAAGGGATTTTTATTGTGCAGTTTTTTAACTTTTATTTAATTTTTAAGTGGGGTCAGCTTGGTAATGTAGAATGAGATGTTAAAGCTGTGCTCGTTAGCTCAAAATATTACCGGGAGGAGCATTTATTGTGCACAAACTGCGTTCTCATAGGGATGAGGTCGTTCTTTTCCCCCTTTACTTAATGACAGGGGCCAAACCTGGGGCAGGTATTACTCCTTGAATTTGTGTCTTACTGGATTCTTCCTGCCCTGTTGGATATTATCTTTATTTCCCTGTCTTGTGTCACAGTCCTTTTACTGTTCTGTAATGCTATATTGCACCCCAGCATGTGGCTGGAGCAGTCTGGAATTTTTTAGGTTATATCCTGCTCTCTGTTCAAATTGAATTATCCCAGGTGACTGGGAATCCATGTAATGCTTGTTTTCTTTGGAATCCAGTGTCATAAGTAGTCAGGTTTGGG